CCGAAGTTGCTCGTTTTGATACTGTAATGGATGACTTACTCGACGATTTTTTCTTGTTGACGTCGTGTTTCATTTGTTGTAACGAGTTCTTAATTGATTGACTGTCTGCAAAGACAGATGCAACACTCATTCGATGAATTCGAGCAATAAAACCTAAAAATATAGATTTGAAATACTAAAATGATCATTGAATTTCTTCATTAATCTTACTCAAAAGAAGATCAAATTCACCATCAGCCAAATCTTTGAAAGATGCTTTTTCACCGTAGGCAGCACGAACTACAGATCTAGCTGTTGCATTCAATGAAGAACCACGTTCGATGTGATCCAAATTGATTCCATTTAATGTCTAAAAATAGTAAAACCGATGATAACAGTTCAAAGAAAATTCTTTGTATAGTCAACGATACTGCAAAGTCTAAGACTTTTATGCAAAACCGATTGTGCGAAACATGGTAAATGGTAATTGAGCATAGTCTATTGCCTAAAACTTTTACTTACCATTACGATATCTTCATCATCATTCGTTTGCTGTGTTTGCAATACTTTAGCTTGCTAAAAAGATAAAAAACTACAAAAAAGATGTATCAATTTAGAATCTCAGCTTACTAAATGGAGAATATGAGATAATTTTTCAATCAATTTTTGTAATTCACGTGGACCATTAATCGATTCATTGATTAAACGTGTTTGTTCTGTTATCTGTTGCAATATTTCTTTCACTAATTGATTTGTTTCTTCACATAACTTTACCAGTGGTTTCATCATCTGATTAATTCCTAAAACTTAAATAAGATTAGTAATGGAACAGAAAACATCTTTATAATATAAATAACTATTTTGTGTTGTTTCAGTAATCGACTTTGTCGTTGCAGCAACTGTTCTTGAACTAAGTGTATTTTCACCACCAACATTATCTAAGATTTGATAATTAATAAAGAATATTTCGTAAATAAATTTTTAAATATAAATGTACTCATCATTGCTGCTGCTGTACTTTGAACAATCGGATTAAATCGTTTACGAGGAAGTGGTGCAGTTGATGGAGCAACCAATGTACTAGCAACAGTTCGACGTTTTTTAGCTGATAATTATTCGAATGAATTTACATGATCTCAAATATAAGATCCTGTTACACTTACCTGTTAATGCAACAGGTGCTACACAATTATTATCATTACTTGTAGTTGAATTATATATCGAAGACAATGGTTGATTCATAGGTTGATTCATAGGTTGATTAATAGATTGATTAATAGATTGATTAATACATTGATTAATAGGTTGATTAATACATTGATTAATAGGTTGAT